TATTATGAATCATTCTGATTAAATTTAAGTCTAAAACAAATATATTATAAATTAACAAAATGAACATTTAACAAAGTAATGATAGTGATTTGCAAGTTTTTATTTTATAAGATAAACAAACTTAAATTAAAGAGAAAGAAAAAAATTCAGAAAATTTGGAAACAATGCTACAAAAAAGCTTCTTTCTTTTTAATTTTAAATTCTTGTGAAGCTAATCCTTTACAAAAATTTTGTTTCACCTACCACAACTTTCACTAATCACCTTTTTAGAGGGCTAAAGTCATTTTTAAATGATTTATAGATAACTCTAATTCTATGCAAGCATTAATTATGATCATATCCAATGAATGATATTGATTGAGTGCAAGACACTTATTTTGAAAATTATAGACATTTTTATCCACATTTTGTTTTTGAACAATGGACATTTTGGATGTTTATTTGGAAGTTTATAAAGATTATTGTTCACATAAATCACCAGTAAAGATGATTTAGTAGTTTGATAGTAGTAGGATGACTTACACAACATAACAATAACAAAATAAATAAGGATAAAAACTTTTGTTGAAAAAGTTCTAATTTCACCAACACTGGTTCTCTATGATAAGATCTGATGGTCTTCTTGGAGTGGTCTTCTACTTTATTTCTTGTTCTCTATATTTTAAGAATACCTTTTCTATTAATTTTTTTTTTTATATATATATATTTGTATCTTTATTTTATATATTAAAATAAAAATAAAATAACATGACACAATAAAATAAAATAAAAGTAACAATGTTTTGATAATGAATAATTTTTTGATGACAAAAAATAAAAACTATTCAACAATAACAAAATTAAAAAATGTTTAGTGCAAAAAATGTCACAAGAAAACATGCACGCAGCTTAAAACCACAGGTCACGAGAACAAATGCACGCTAGAGCGCATGTATGTAACACAAATTTACATGTCACAAAAGCATGATAGTAATAACCATATAATTTTACAGCACACAGTCAATTTAAAACTTTTTAAAAAATATACAGTAATAATTTGTTATATTTTTGTATTAAAACAGAAACATTTGTATTAATAGAAACATAATTAAACAACTTAGTTTAAAAATGATACAGCTCCTAAGTCATTACTATTAATAGTTTAATATTAAAATGTTTTAAATCTTTCAAAATTTTCTTTTTATATCCTCAACTAAGTACAAAACTAGTTACTTTGATAAAAAAACAGATTGCATTAACTCATTGACAAAATATTGAAAAAATACATACTTCTCCACTTCATTATGCAGACATCAATATCCATCAATAAGTGAAGCATAGTAAATGGTTGATGAAAAATAACTTCATCTCTATAAAAAGATATCATCAATGCTCCAAAAACTGCTTTTCTTGACAAAAACATCTCACCTAAAACCAATTAGAATACTTTCTCAGTTGTTTATAGATAGTTATATGTGCGTGTGTGTGAGTATACTTAATGACAAAAAAAACATATATATACATATATATATATATATATATATATATATATATATAATATATATATATATATATATATATATATATATATATATATATATATATATATATATATATATACATATATATACATATACATATATATATATATATATATATATATATATATATATATATATATACATATACATATATATACATATACATATACATATATATATACTACTATATATATATATATATATAATATATATATATATATATATTATATATATATAAATATATATATATATATATACATATATATATACATATATATATATATATATATATATATATATATATATATATATATATATATATATATATACATATATATATATATATATATATATATATATATATATATATATATATATATATATATATATATAATATATATATATATACATACATATATATATATATAAATATATATTTTATATATATATATGTATGTATATATATATATATACATACATATATATATATATATATATATATATATATATATATATATATATATATATATATATATATATATATATATATATAATATATATATATATATATATATATATATATATACAGGGACACCTTCTATGCGCAAACTAATATTTTTTAAGTTTATTAATTTTAAGTTTTTTTTAACATGTTGATAAGTTTTTACTTTTTGGTGAGGAATAAACCAAAAGCTCATTTTTGACAAATTCAGCTTCTTCATCTTGACAGCTTCATCATTTGACAAATTTAACTTCATCATCAAGAAACTGAAAGTTTTTTATATTTATCAGTGACTGAAATAATTATTTCCTAATTTTTAAGGCCAATTTTCACTGAATTTTTTTTTAGTTTTGACACAAATTTTTTGTTGATAACAATTAAAAATTAATTATTGGGGAGGGGGTCTTAATAAGCTTTGGGTGGGTGAGAAAATTTTCCACAACTTAATAAATGTCCTGCTTGCCTACCCCTCCCCCTCCTTCCCTGTATTAAGCACTTGAGAGTAGTTTTAATAATAATCTTGACCAACACTTTAAATAGTGAGTAACTTTTTAATTATACCTAAAAAACTAAAACAATTAATTTGTTGATAATATTAAGTCGCAAATATGTTGTAAAATTTCAGCACAAAGTACAATAATTAAGTTGTTTTAGTAAAACAAACACTTTAAAATACAATACCTTTGCAATTAGGAACATCTTTTACTTTCAAAACAGAGATTAAAAATGTAGATATTATTTCAGATTTGCTCAAACAACAATAACAAGGCATAGGTACAATGCAGAAACTTTTAACGGCTAAAGTGAGAGAATAAAGAGCGAAAATAGGGTTAGGTAATTTAGCTCATATATCGATTGATTTAGGGAAAAAATGAGTAATACTATGTTGACTGAGACTGTTGGGGTAATAGTAATAGGGTTAGGTTAAGGAGGAATTTTCTGCACAAATTTTATTCTTGCATTTTACACCTTGAGAGTTTTTGCATTTCACCGTTTTAAGCATGTCCACAAGAACACCGAAATAAGTTGCTCATTTTCTAATATAATGGCATAACTTATGCTGTATTTGGAATTACCCATTAGCATAGCAACTGCAAAAAGATCTTTTATGGCATTAAAAAGAATTAAAACACATTTAAGCACAACGATGGTGCAAGACCGTTTTTCAGTGCGTTAGCCTATTTGCTATTGAAGACAAAAAGCAGCTCACTTAAATTTAAAAAAAAAATTTTCACTAGACTTTTAACAAATGAATATGCTTTAATATATACTTATTTTACATATGCTTACATATAGATTTACATACAGGTTACATACAGGTTACATACAGGTTACATACAGGTTACATACAGGTTACATACAGATTTGCATACAGGTTACATATAGGTTACATACAGATTTACATACAGGTTACATACAGGTTACATACATAGGTTTCTATGCAGATTTACATACAGGTTTCTATGTCATTAAAATGTTTATATCTTCAGAATATTTTGCAAAAAAACTTATTCTACCATTAAATTTTTTTCCATGTGACTCCAAAAATTAAAAAACCAGTTGCACATATAAGAATAAAAGCTTTTTAAACTTTAAAGAAAAATCAGATTTTGAAGGTTTTAAGCATGTAAAACAATTCTATACAGAACAACATTGCAACAACATTGCAACAAGCAAAACAACATTGCACAATTAATTCATTTAACCATCAGAAACATTAAAACATTCAAGAAAAAACATTTGATCAATTAAAAACAAAAAAAAAAGAATTTTATTAAATGTAAAAAAAAATTAATAGATTCCACAGATAAAATATTTAAAAAAAGATATAGTTTTATTAATGAGTGAAATTAAAAAAAAAAAAAAGAATCACACTACACAGAACAGGCGTGAAGGAAATAATAAAACAACATAAAATAATTTCAGTACGTTAAAAAAAAATTGGGAAAAAAAATTGGAAACAGAATAAAATAACATAAAGTAAAGTAAATGAAGCATACATCTAGCTAACAGCACATCATATTTTGCTGGATCTGAAATTTTTTCATATTCCTCCTATAATGAAGTTAAAAAACTAAATCAGAAAAATAATTAAACAAAAAAACTTTTTTAGTTTAAAAATTTTGTATTAAAGATTTTTTTAAGGGAAGAAATTATTTTTTTACTTTTTATTTTTTATTTTTGTGATTCCATATATATTTAAAATAAATAATTTGTAAATAGCCTTTTAAAGTAGTCAGTATGTGTGAATTGTAATTAAAGTATATATTAATTAACTTATACTTCTCTCTTAGCAATTGCATTTAATAGAAGTTCACGAGCTTCTTCGTCTTCTTTCTAAATAGAGCAATTTGAGATCAATATCTATTAAAGGATTTTTGATAAGAACTTAAGTTTATTTTAAATTTATTTGAAGAGATTGTGAAAATGCAAATTTATGATTGAAAAAATTACTTCTGCCTCTAATCTTTGCTGATTAAACCAAAGCTTGCAACTTTTGGAAAACTCAGTAATAAAATCAAAACTTTCATCTTCTAAACCTGGGGTTCTTTCTAACCATTTCTGAAAAAAAAATATTATCGAAAATTTTTGTGGCACAATTAACAGATTGGTTACAATTATTCAAACTTAATTTTTAAATAATATTCATTTTATAATAATTGTTACTGGCACCAATTTATTACAAAAAAATTTAGAAATTACTTCCAAAAGAGCAAATAATGAAGGTTCTTTTTCAGACAGCTCCACCAAGTTGCGATATTCAGCATTCAATGCTTCGCTATCATCAATTTAAAAAAAATAATTAACTTCAAATGCTATTATAAAATTATAATACGTAAAAGTACACATATAAATATATATAAACATAAGTATATATATATATATATATATATATATATATATATATATATATATATATATATATATATATATATATATATATATATATATATATTTATATATATATATATATATATATGAGCATACCTACATATATACTTTATGTATAACATGTGTATACACAAATAAATTCAACAAAGAAGAAAATGGAACAAAATGAAAACCATAGGGACACACTTACCTGGAACCTAGTTACAAGTTTAGTAAAAAAAGTTTTTATTCTTCACAAATGCAAAGTTTTTATTTTTCAAATTAGGCATGATCTTGATACTAACCCAAACCAAACCTTCAGTCGATGTAGCAGCATTCTCTTGTAAGTCAGACTATTTGATAGTCGATGTATGTACTTTTTGTTATCTATCTTTGTAAAAAATTAAGGAGTACAATAAAATGTCCCCCATAATGCTAATTTCCCCATAAGTGTTCCTTTTTTTGTAAAATCTGTCCCTGCAAATGGTACTATAGGTATATATATACTGTTATATATGTATATATATATTGTTATATATGTGTGTGTATATATATATATATATTTTGTTATTCACCTCCTTAAGGCCGAGAAGGCCACTACAGACGAGGAGACTACTTAATAGTGGTTATAACGCTCTCTCAACTCTATAACCCCGAAACACGAACCTTGACGAACAAGGCGGCTGCGCGGAGAAACAAGTTGAGCGCGGTACTACCAGGGACGTGGTGGGGATCGAACTCGGAACCTCTCGCTTATGAAGCGAGTGTTTTACCACTACACCACTACCCCATTAATATATATATATATATATATATATATATATATATATATATATATATATATATATATATATATATATATATATATATATATATATATATATATATATATATATATATATATATATATATACATATATATATACATATATATATATATATATACATATATATATATATACATATATATATATATATATATATATATATATATATATATATATATATATATATATATACATATATATATACATATATATATATATATACATATATATATATATATACATATATATATATATATACATATATATATACATATATATATATATATATATATATATATATATATATATATATATATATATATATATATATATATATATATATATATATATATATATATATATATATATATATATTGTTATTGTCGTACCAAATCACAATTAAAAAATTAAAAAAAGTTAAAAAACAAAAAAAACAACCTGTAATCTGCTTTATTATGCTTAATGCGGTTAACCTGTTAAATTAATCAATTAAAAATATTTATACATCTGATTAAAAAGCAAAATCAATCATAAATAGTTAGTAAATAATAATAGAAAACAGTTAGAAAACAGTTGACAGAAGAGCAAGAAAGTTAAAGAGAAAAAAGACAGAAAACTTAAAAAACAGTAAAATGAGGAAAATCTCTTAAAAACATGAAAACAACAGAGAACTCTAAAGCATTGATATTCAAAGAAATAAACTAGCCGAATAAAGGTTTTTTGAGCATGAAGAAACAAGAGATCAGAAAACGTATTAGCAGCAACCATTATAGTATTTGTATAAAAAAGAAAGAGATGCAATATAATGATAATGGGACATACTCGGAGGTTGGCAATAGGTAGGGATGGCAAAAATCCCGGAAGTTTTTAATCCTAGGATTTCGGGATTGAGAAATTTGTCCCCGGGAAATCCCGGGATGAATAGAAAAAACGCAAACGCAATTGAATACTTTTTAAGCACTCATCAAACACTTAAAAATGATTAATTTAATGATAATATAACTAAAATATTTAATACATTAATGAACCTCTAAAATTAAGTTGAATCATGTTTTAACTTTTTTTTAATTTTAATCTAAGATTTTTAAAAATTAATAAACCTAAAAATTATAAAACAATACCTTAAAATGGTAACACAGTATAAGTAATAATAAAAATTAAAAAATAATATAAATATGCATGACGTTGAAGAAAACTTTCGTAAATCACGCATTTTCATAAATCACACATTTGAAAATTAAAATGAATAGATATAAAAATAGAATTAAAATCACGCATACTTTTGGAATCAGAAAATTCAAAATTAAATTAATGTCTGCAAAACATATATATGTTTATATATATATATATGTATATATATATATATATATATATATATATATATATATATATATATATATATATATATATATATATATATATATATAATGAATACCTTCTATTAAAAACTCTTGCTCTTTTTACCAGCAAGCGCCTAAATTTTATTTATTTTATTAATATACAAGTTTTAATATTATAATATAAATTATATATAGTATAATATCAAAACTAGTATATTATAAAAAATAACAAAAATATAAGCACTTGCTGGTGGAAAGAACAATAGTTTTTAATAAAAGTTATACATTATATATATATATATATATATATATATATATATATATATATATATATATATATATATATATATATATATATATATATATATACATATATAAACATATATATGTTTTGCAGACAAGCAATAATGTTTTGAGTTAATTTTATAATTTTTTTTAGTAAAAAACAAAAAAAGAGAGTTTTAAAAGGAAAACATTGCAAAGAGAATAAATAGTTACACAACCAAGCAGCTACTATAGCAAAGACGATATAAAAATTACTAAACTACAATTATAAGCTTAAACTTTATTAACTTTTCTTTTTTTTGACAATCACGAAATCCCGGGAAACTTCGAAGACTAATCTCGGGATTTCGGGATAAACAATTTGTAAGAAATCCCAGGATTTCGGGATCCCAGGATTGCCATCCTTAGCAGTAGGTCTACATTTACAGTGCGCTTTTTTATCTTGTCTAAACGAAAGCAATGTTAGAAGAAACAGCAAAAAATATAGCATATCATATGTATTTTATGGAAGAACAGAATTTATAAATTTATCAAATTAATTTATAGATGTAGAGAATGTAATCAGGAGTACAAAAATGGCAAGCACAATGGCAGAGAATTGCTTAGAGAATTGCAGAGAGGCTGTTGCTTAATGTTTTCCATTACTGATTGTTCACTTGAATCAAGAATCAGATTTAAAAATCAAATTCAAAATATCATGGTTTGGGTTTGGAGTTGAGAGGTTCGGGCTGAGAAAGTGTTGCAATCATTTAAAAAAAAATTATTGGCTTTTTCCTTTTTTCATATTTTTTCTAGGTAAGTGAAAAGTTTTCTAGGTAAATGAAAAAATTTCTAGGTAAGTGAAAAGTTTTCTAGGTAAGTGAAAAGGAACAAAAAAGAAAAAAAAAAGTAAAAGTTATGTAAGCAAATTTTTATACCTAAGAAGAAAAATACTTTCGATACAAAATTACAGGATCTTTTTCAAACAAAAGTGAAAACCTTATAGTAGGGGTTATACTTAGGGTTGCCAGACGTTTGGCAAAAGGAGGGCAAGTCTTCCTTTTTTATCTTTGGTCTTCTGTCCGGCAGGCGAAGCTGAAAACATTTAAAATGTCCTGCTTTTTTAATATTTTAATTTTTTTATTTATTTTATTCATTATTATTTTTTTTTTTACTTATTATTTTTTATTCTAACTTTGCTATTCTTAAAACTGTATAAATTTCATGTTTGTTTTTTTGACATTCTATTCTTCAATTAAAACTTCAAGTTCTACTTTTAACTCTGTTTGTTTCGCTTTTCCAATTGTATTACAATGTTCATTTTGTCTTAATGTCCATTCAATCATTAATCAAAAAGTTTGACAAACAAAAATCGAAGCAATAAAATTTAGAACATAATTTTTATTCCATTCAAAACTGTTTTCAAACTGTATAATTTTTTGAATTCATTTATTTTTCTGTAGAATGGCAAAGGAATTAAAAAACTTAAAAAAAAAGTATAGATCAATTCTATTTTAATTAATACATTTTTAACTCAGTACATTTTGTCAGTTTTTGCTTCAGTTTTTGCTTCCGCTTCTATAGCAACTTTTATAGTACTTATATTACATTTTTTATAAAAATGACTTTTTTTTTTTTTTTAAAAAAAAATGAGTTTTTACAAAGAGAAAATTCTCAAGTACTATGAAAACAAAGTATTCATGCTTTGTTGAAGGGCGCAACAAGAATGAGGCAAAGTGTACGATATGTGATTGTTACTTGTCCGTCGCTAACAAAGGAGCAACTGACTTAAAGGGCCATGTTAGCAGTGAGAAAGATAAAAACCTAATCAAAGTGTCAGTGTCATTGAATAAGTTGACGTCCTGTTTTGAATCTAAAAACTCAAAGATATCACAAAAAGTCCACGCAGCTGAAGCAACCATTTCATGCAGTTTGTCATCATCACTTTTACAACTCGATGGCCTGCACAGCTGGTTTAATGCACACGTTATTTGAAGATTCGGATATTGCAAAAAATTGTGCATGTTCTTAAACAAAAACTAAGACCATCATAAACCAGGTAATTGGTCACCACACTGTTGATCAACTGGTGAAATCATTAGATAGCACATCATGTTTCGGTCTTTCCACAGATGCTAGCAATCATGGTTCAAAGAAAATATTTCCGATCGTTATTCAATACTTAGACAAGAAAACAGGTGGTATCCAAACTAAACTTCTCACATAATATAATACACCAAATGAAACCTCTAAAACTATTTCACAATATATTTTGAAAACATTCCAAACATACGTATTGTCGTCTAAGAGTGTTGATTTTGCTGGAGACATCGCTAATGTAAATTTTGGAGGCATTAATAGAAAAGTAGGCAAAAATGTGTTTTCATATTTAAAGGAAGCCTTAAAAAAAGGCTTCCTTTTGGTAGGTGTTGGATGTTCTGCCCATTTGGTTGGTAGGTGTTGGATGTTCTGCCCACACTTTGCACAACTGCATTCAGCATGGTACAGATTTAATGAAGATTGATGTTGAAACTGTTGTCTTGAAAATATTCCACTATTTTTTTTTTTTTAGATTTTCTAGACACCCCAAGAAGTCCTTACGGTCTCATGACAGAGCACCACAGAAGAGCATATAATAGAAAGTTCACGCTTTCTTCCAACTGATGTTGCATAATAGTTTATAATACCTACAATTTACCCAGTATCTTTGTGCCTGTAACATGTATCGTTCTTATATAACATACTTTATTGTTTATTCTCATCCAGTGTCAGTACCATGGCTAGATGATTGGAGTCTTACCCCCCCCATCCCCAAAAAAAGCTGTCCTCTTTTTGGCTTTTGTATGTCCTCCTTTAGACAACTGTGCATCTGGCAACCCTAGCTTATACTAGTGATGACTGTCAAAGATAATTTTAGTTTTTCTTTATTCTATAAATTTGATTACCTAAGGTTGCATCACAGTATTTTTGAGATTTGTCCACTTTGATTTTCAATCAACAAGCGGACATCAATAATAAATCACTGCTATTTAAATATCATAAAAATGGTATTTATCTGCCAAGTAACATTGTTTACAAAACTACAGATGGTACAATAGTTGTAAAAATAGAACATTTATTGAATCTGAACAATAACTTTGTTTTAAACGGATTATTTAAATGGTTATTTTAATACTTTGTAAAAAATAAATACTTAATAATATTTTATTTTGCAGCATTTTTATAAACTAAGAACATGTTACTATAAGTCTTTTTCATATGAAATCATAATCATATTCAATTAATGAACTTTTAGCTAAAACTATTGCCATTCTTTTACCTATAAAACCTTTTACCTACAAAACCATAAAATAGGGTTGTGATGCACTTTGAAAGAAAATGCAAACCATCTACTGCCAAATAAACATTTAACTTTATACTCACAAATATATATACAAATATAGTGACCAGTGCCCAATGAGCACTTAATATTAAAAAAGAGCTATTTAACCAAATAAGTAAATTAATTAAAAAAATACCAAGCAATGAGAGTATTCTAAACATATTTTTGACTAGAGAATCTTTAACAGCATCTATAGTAAAGTATCTAATGAAGTATGTGGAAGGATTCTCAAAGACACAAAGAATTTGGTGGAATGAAAGCTGGTGGAATGTAAAAGGGAGTAAAGAAGTAAAAGAAAAATAGGAAATCTTAAAGAATATGGTAAGAATATAGGAGACAAACATATGTGTATTTTTAATATATACTATTTTTTTTATATATACTGGGTTGCATAGTATCCTTCAACAAAGTTAAAGGGTATTATGCAATCCTATAAGCACAAGGTTTAATATATTTAAATAACGTATTAAAACATTTTATTATGTTTTTTAGGCATCTAAAACACATTTTGTGCAAATACAAAAATACCTTTTTTAAATCATTAAAATCCAGCTGATGATTTGATGAAACTTAATTAAGTCATCTAAACTTAATTAAGTCATCTAAACTTAATTAAGTCATCTAAACTTAATAGCGTATAATTTTTTTGAAATTATTTTAATTGATTCTCTGCTAAAGGTCAAGAATATTTGGATGAAAAAGGTCAATGAGCCAATTTATTGTGCATTTATTATCTAAAAGTGTATTTGTTGCCATCCATGTTGTATAACTCTCTTCAAATTGCAGATTAAATAAAATAGAATGTTTTTTTGGAATTAAATCTAAATGATTGTATTCAAAGATTTGAAAATTTTCAGAAAAAAGCTTGTAAAATGAATTGTTGTTGTTTATTTGTGCTTGATTCAGATAACTTTTCTTTGCAATTTGTTGATCATTTTTAATAGAATTTCTTTTAATATAATATGGTGAACATTTTTAATATGATTTCTTTAAAAGTTAGTAAATTCCTCAATAAGAATAAATTTCATAATATTAATTACATAATTTTCTGTATCAAAAAGCTGTGAAAACTTCAAAGCTTCTTAATTTTCCCTTCAAAAAATATTCAACCTTGAATATAGTAGGCTATGAAAAAATACTTACAAATGAAGTTAAGAAAAAAGGTGGATGGTTCATTTTCAAAAATTTATAAATAAATAAATTTATAAATTTTGATTGTAATAAAAGTAAGATTATCTGGCTTTAACCCAGAAACGATTTTCATTTATCACTTTTTCTTTATCAAGTTTTTGCAAGTTTAAGGTCACCACAAAATTTGTGGTGATGTTAAAAAGATTTTCAACAAATAACCAAGTGAGATAGTGATTTTAAAAATCTAAAACGATCAGACGACAAAACATTGCATGACTTTGACTTAACATTAAAAGAATTTATAATGGCTTTTTCCTCCTTAAAAAAGAATAAACCACCAGGATTTGATGATATACCCAATAATATAGTTATTGCAAATAAAAAAATAATTAGTAAACCCCTGTTTTATACAGTAAAACTATCTTTAGATCAAGGGGTATTTCCTGATGTACTAAAATTAACAAAAGTGTTTCCAATTTATAAAAATGATGATCATTTTAACGTTTCCAACTACAGGCCTATATCAGTGCTTTCTGTATTTTCGAAAAAATTCAAATGTGTAATTTACAATAAAATCTTTAACCATTTTACTAAAAACAATTTTTTTTATTCAAAACAATTTAGATTTCAGAAAAATCATTCAACTGAACATGCGATTATTGAATTAGTTGATCAAACAAACAATGAAAATTTAAAAAAAAATGGTTTTAATGAAAACAAATTTACTTTAGGTATATTTATTGATCTCTTAAAAGCTTTTGACACTGTTGATTATTGTATATTGTTAGGAAAGTTGAAGCATTATGGAATAACTAATAAAGTCTACTATTGGAATAAAGGTTACCTCACAGATAGAAAACAATATGTTTTAAGAATACCGAATATTTAAAATCCAAGAATACGGAATATTTAAAATCCGGTGTAGAGTACCGCAAGGATCAATACTTGGTCCTATCTTATTCTTAGTTTATGTAAATGACTTAAATAATGCATCAGTAAAGTTAAACCCAATTATGTTTGCAGATGATACAAACCTATTTCTTTCCAACAATAGTGTCAAACAACTTTATGCATTTTGAATTAAATAAGATAAATGACTGGTTTATGGCGAATAAACTCTCATTAAACGTTGAAAAAACAAAGTATATCTTATTTCATAAAAAAATGCAAGAAGAAAATCTTCCCCTTAAATTACCAGACCTATTTTTAAATAAAATACAAATAAAAAAGGAAGACTATATAAAATTTTATATAAAAAATGCAAGAAGAAAATCTCCCCCTTAAATTACCAGACCTATTTTTAAATAACATACAAATAAAAAAAGTTTTTTCTTTCCCATATTAAATATTTACAATCAAGAGTTAGTAAAACCATTGGTCTGATGTACCAAACTCATCCATTTGTAAATACAGTTTGTCTAAAGTTAATATACTTTTATTTAATTCATTGTTTCATTAACTATGTGAATATTGTATGGGCTAGTACATAACCATCAAAACTTAAAAAAATACATAGTTTGCAAAAACATGCGTGTAGAATTATATACAGGAAAAAAAGAGGAGAGCATACTAAACCCTTAATTAGAAATATGAAAATGATGAATGTATACAAAATAAATTATTATCAGCACCTAATTTTAATGTATAAATATATTAATAACCTAACTCCAGCTAATTTTATTTGTAAGTAAGAAAAAATTTTTAATGAAAAGTATTTTTAAAGAACAAATGGATCAAATTCCTTTAAACTGCTAAGAAAATTAAATAAACATACAGAATATTCAATAGCATATTGAGGACCTAAGTTATGGAACTCTTTTCAAAAAACTAATGCAAATATGATAAAATCATTAAACTTATTTAAGTTTTAAGCAAAAAAACACATTTTTAATTTTGCGGAATAATAGTTCCAAAACAATTTTGTAAATTTATTCAAATGAATACTTATTATTCTTAGTATTTACTAATGATATACGTTTCTTTTGCAAGAAAAGATTGCAATATAGTTATTGCGAAATATCTTTGTATTTGTTAAAATAAGTTTTCTTGTTATATCTTTAGTTCATTTTATATATTTTTTATTTTTTTTTGTTACTTTTATATCTTGGATTTTTATAACCCTTTTTGAATATTTTATAATTTTAAATATCAATATTTTATTATATTAAGGGGCTCTATAAAAAGATTGAGGTGACATTACGTCATCCATATCTTTTTTGAGTCCCCGCCTGTTTTTAAAATATTTTATTTAGTGATATTTACCATGTAAAACTCATTTGTAATTTATTTTAACAGCAAAATATAAAATGAAAAAAAAAAAAAAAAAAAAGATAGTGTGGTGTGAGGCCAGGTGAAAGATTACCACTTGTGTGGTAGGCATAGTGAGGTATTTACATGTTAAAGAATGGCTGGTAAAAGATATTATGGGTAATCATGAATATATTACAACATCAGTCAAAATAAAAGATGGAAAGAATGATGGTTTTAAAGCAAAGGTTATTATAAAATCATAAAATTCTGGAAAGTGAAATACATAGAAAATAATTTGGAGCAAACTCAAGCTATTGTTTAGTGTTCCTAATATTCTTGGTTTTAAATTGTAAAAAATTTACTTTTAGTATAAATTTTAAAAAGACATCAAAATATATAGTAATGTAGTAGCATAATTTGTTATCTCGAAGGCTGTGATTAGATCAAAATTTTGTTATCTCCAAGGCTGATAAAGCAGAAGATGCATATGATTGGGTATCAGCATGTAGTGAGTTGACAGTTTCAGGAAAAAAGATTGAACTTATATATACCATAAACTTGGAGAAAGAAAGTTGCAATTGAAAAAACTTCATTTACAGAAAAAAGATGGCCAAAAATGTGTATATTGAAGAAATTATTATTCTAAAAAATGTTTCTCATAATGCTAGTTTCTTTTTAAAACTTAGAAATGAACTTGTCTTTTTTAAAACTTTGTTTTTTTTAACTTTAAAATGAACCTGTTTTCTTTAAAAAAAATTTAAACCATTGATTTTTAAACTTGTTGCTAAAACTTCAAAGAAGAGATTATTGAAGTAAAAGATAACTTAACATGTATAGTAAATATATAAGCAACAAATAGAAGGTGTCCTAAAGAATTTCTTAAGTGAACAATAACTATTGGCTCAATCATTAAACAATCACCAATCACTGGCCAAAATCTGTCTAAATGCTAAAGTTTAACCAAAGTTTAATCAAACCAAATCACCAAAATTTGAGAAAGTATACAGTTTTCTTTTTAATTCAAACATTTTCAACAACAGGAAATATAAAAAAATGAGGTCACCACTAGATAAAAACAATAAAAATGTTATGCTTAGCAAGATGTTATTTTATGAAACAGAAAAAATACTGTTAATGCAAATCATTTAAAATCTTCTAAAAAGATAAAAAACTTGAACAAGTTTAGTCTGCATAATTTTCTAATTTCTTTTAAGAAGCTAAATTAAAAAATTGTCCACAAATTGGTTTTAGAATTATATTTTGAATTTGCACTATGAAATAAAAAACTAAAAAATAATTTTAAAAACATCACCTTTTTGACACCCAGTTTATTCTCAATTATTCTGAATTGCCAACTTTGGAACCCAGAGGACGTTTCTAGAACATTTCTATAAATATATTTAAAAAGTTAAATTAAATTTATATTAGACAAGATGGCATCCATATAACAGATCATCATTAAACAAGTCATCAACATCAAATATATTACCAACATCTAATAAACGTCTTACCAACATCAAATAAAATGTCTTGTTTTCTATTTTAAGGGATTTTTAAATTCATAAAATAGAAATGTTTGATATTTTGTAAACCCATTAAACATATATGTTGGATACCTTAACTTTTGGCTGTTAAAATCTGTCTTACGCAGAGTATTGATTAAAATAATAAACAGTAAAAAACTTACATTACGAAACTAAAACGACATTTTTATAAATGACAAAATGAACATTCTTAAATATTCATAAGTTACATAAATTACATAAATTAGGTCCTTTCATTAAAGATTTTTGTACAAACTTTTAAAAATTAAAAAACATTCAAAACATGTGATATTGTTTTTAAATATATCAACAACACAAAATTTCTAATTTTTTATCTTTTTATCTTTAATTAAATAAAAAATGGGAGAATCCATGTGAAAACATCCAGGGCATGCAACCCTAAGTCTCAGATTTTGCTGATTTTTAAACCACTTAAAGATTTTAGTAAATTATGAACATCCTGAAAATTTTATCGTCTAATTTCAATCGGTTCCTAAGATATAGCTATTTTAAGTTTGCTTCTAACCAACAAAAATCCGCCATTTTTAAAAATGGTTTAGGTCCTAGTATCTGTTATATGTGTGTTGGAAAGCTGAAAATTTGTACCTTTACATATTTTGGGCCAACGAATCTAATGAAACAACTTAAAATATTTAAAAACAAGCATAACACCTAAAATTTGAACGTTTACCACAATTTTACTGGGGCGAGTCCGATCACAAAAATGCCGATGTAGCTCGATTTTTTTTTTTTTTTTAAGAAGTTGTTCTGAATAGTTAAGCTGTAGTTACTACAAAGAATTGGAGAGTGGTCTTTTCTAAAACAGAAATAAAAATATGGTCAAATCTACTTAAATTTATTGCTTAAAAAACAGGTATTTTGATAAATTTAACTATACAAAAAGATGTGATAATTTGACAGTTCTGAAGCTGAAACAGTTTTGGCTATATCGAAATGTTCTTTTAGATGTTGTTGAATTGCTCTTTCTATTTTTTTAGTAGTTTTATGGTTTAGAAATGTTTATAAGGTTGTAAAATTAAAGTTAGAATGCTTACTAATTAAGTTTAAATTTCTAGTCCTAAACAACCTTGACCCCACGAACACATTGAATGAATCATAGATTTTTCTTGCATCTTTTTCAGAAATAATAATAGTATATTGATAAAATGGAATCTTGTGGGTTTGGAAATGTTTTAAAAGATGAATGTCACAAAATATGTTTTGTTCAAAAACAAGGATTAAAAGATTTTTGTAATCTAGAAAAGGACTTTCAAGATACTTATATTTATAGGTCTGGTTTGCTTGAGACTACATCATACGAAGAGATAAAGTCTATTTGTTATCATCATGAGCAGGTTTTTGGACCAATATTTCTATTAAAGAATGATAAGTGTTGCGATGTTTTAAAAAGACGCAAAAAGAAGGTTAAAGGTAATATATATGTTTTTCCTTCCTCCTCAAGGCCAAGCAGGCCATTACAGACGAGGAGGCTACTTATTTATGGTTATAACCCTCTCTTGACTCTATAACTCCGAAACACGAACCTTGACAAATAAGGCAGCTGTACGGAGAAACAAGTTAAGTGCGGTACTACCAGGGACCTGGTGGGGATCGAACTCGGAACCTCTCGCTTATGAACCAAGCGGTCTACCACTACACAACTACCGCATATATATATAATTATTTATTATATATTAACTTATATATATATATTATATAAATTAATATATTATAATATAATATATATATATATATATATATATATATTATATAAATTAATATATTATAATATAATATATATATATATATATTATATAAATTAATATATTATAATATAATATAATATATATATATATAAATATATATATATATATATAAATATATATATATATATATATATATATATATATATATATATATATATATATATATATATATATATATATATATATATATATATATATATATATATATATATATATATATATATATATATATATATAAATTTAGAAGCAGGGTATGTTTATTTAAAATTAATGATTTTATTTTAGGTCAAACAACCATATCTCTTGAAATGGCTCATAACCTTAAATCCAAAAACCTAGACTGTAAACCAGGATGGAAATTTTGTCGCTCATGTATTCAGTTTTTGTCAAATCGCGATGAAGTTTCTGATAATGAAATGGATAGTGAAATTAATGGCGATGTATTATTTGTTAAAGATAAATCTTGTAATAAACAACAGTTAGACAATTCTTTAATATCAATTGGAGTCTCACCAATTAAAGTTCATGGTGTCGCAAAGCATCAACGAGTTGTAACAGCAAAAAGAAAATTAGTCAAAGCCTACACAAAAATGGAAGGTGTAGCAAGTGCTTATGGAGTAAATATAAATAACTTAAGTGTAGCCTCAACTTTTTCCAGTCAATCTATGGATAAAAAAAAAGCAAATGATTTTGATCATTTGACAACTTTAATGAAAAAAAAACTTAAAGTTAAACCATTTAAAAAAAAAGTTCAAATATTAACACTTACACCTGAATCTTGGTCTAGAAAATACGCTTCAGAATATTTTGAAGTTTCTGAACATCTTATACGACGTGCTAGGAAACTTAAAAGTGAAAATGGAATTCTTGCTATACCTGATAAGAAAATAGGCCAAAAAATACCTGACTTTCTTACAGCTTTGGTTCAAGATTTTTTTCAACAAGATGAACATTCTAGAATTATGCCTGGTAAAAAAGATTGTGTTAAAGTTAAAAGTGGTCCTCCACAACAAAAAAGATTATTATTGTGCAACCTTCATGAGCTTTATATTGATTTTAAAAGTAAATACCCTAATTATAAAATAGGATTTTCAAAGTTTTGTAGTTTGCGTCCAAAATGGTGTATTAGTGTGGGACCAAATGGTACACACTTTGTATGTGTTTGTATTTACCATCAAAACTCAATATTGCTTGTAAATGCTGTCCAATGGAATGTTACATACAAAGATTTAATGTCAAAATTAGTATGTGATACAAGCAACAATGAATGCATGGTTCATAGATGTGCCAAATGTCCAGGTTATGATAACTTAAAAGCATTTTTAGATGAAGAATTAATTGAGATTGATGAAGAAGAAGAAATTCAATTCAACCAATGGCAAAGTACTGATAGATCACAATTAATTACTCAATCAGTTAACTTATTTGAATATAAAGAACTAGTTGTTTCTCACATTAATCATCTAACTTCACATTCATATATTGCTAAATGCCAAACTCGCTATTTGAAAGAATTAAAAAATAATTTAGTTTACAATGAATGTCTTATACAGGCAGATTTTGCAGAGAACTATCAATTTGTTATACAGGATGAAATACAAAGTTATCATTGGAATAAACAACAATGTACACTTCATCCTGTTGTTATATATTTTAAGGAATTTTCTAAAACAAATATTCAGCATAAGTCATTCTGTTTTTTAAGTGATGACAATGATCATGATACATGCTTTGTGTATGAATTTCAAAAGAAAATTGTAGAGTACATTAAGGAATATTTAGTTGGTATCAATAAAATTTATTATTTTTCTGATGGATGTTCTGCTCATTATAAAAACTATAAAAACTTTATAAATCTATGCCACCATAAGGAAGATTTTGAGATTACAGCTGAATGGGTATTTTTTGCAACCAGCCATGGAAAATCCACTTGTGATGGCATAGGTGGTATCGTTAAAAGAATAACAGCAAGAGCAAGTTTGCAAAGGGCATTGGAAAACCAAATATTAACAGTTGATGATATGCTTGAATTTTGCATCACCAATATAAACACAATCATATTTTATAAAATTTCCAAAGAAACAGTTAATGCAAGGAGACAGCAACTAAAGGAGCGATTTGAAACAGGAAAAACTGTTCCAGGTACCAGAAGTTATCATCATTACATACCTATTTCAAAATTTGAAATTAGTTTTAAAAGAACAAGCGAACATCAATGTGTTGACAGATTTATACTGTCAAAAGCAGTAATGTCTGATTTGTTGTTGCACCAAATCTAAATGATTTTGTTGCATGCAAGTACGATTCCTTTTGGTGGATAGGCATGGTTACAGAGATAGATATTATTCTAAATGATATTCAAATTAAGTTTATGCACCCTCACGGCCCTTCTCAAAACTTTATTTGGCCACAGAGAGATGATATCTGTTGGGTACCATTGTCGAGTTTGATTGCAGTAATCAAAGTCCCAACAACAAAATCAGGGCGAACATATAACATTGATGTGAATGATTATAACACAATAACTGATAAATTTTAATTTTTTTGAGTTTTTAATTTTCAAATTTTATATATTACTTTTGTTTCTTGAACTTCTTTCCGAGTGCTCTATTTGTTTTGGAGTCTTTGTTTTTTAAGTTTATGAAGTTTGATAAAGATGAAACTAATGTTTTATAAGTAATAAATTTAAGTATATTTGAAACTAAATTTGCAATATACATCTGCATTTATATAATTCTCCCCCTTGAAACTAAACTTTTTCAAGATCAGATTCTAAAAAATTACAAAGAAAACAGAAACAGCTAGTCAACAACAACTAAAAGAACAGTTTGATGTAGCCTAAACTGTTTCAGTTGCAAAACTGTCAAATTACCACATTTTTTTTCTTGTTTAATTTGTCATAATACCTGTTTTTTAAGCAATAAATTTAAGTAGATTTGACCATATTTTTATTTCTGTTTTAGAAAAGACCACTCTCCAATTCTTTGTAGTAACTATAGCTTAACTATTCAGAACAACTTCTAAAAAAAAAAAAAAAAAAAAAAAAATCCAGCTACATCGGCATTTTTGTGATCGGACTCGCCCTAGTAAAATTGTGGTAAACGTTCAAATTTTAGGTGTTATGCTTGTTTTTAAATATTTTAAGTTGTTTCATTGGATTCATTGGCCCAAAATATGTAAAGGTACAAATTTTCAGCTTTCCAACACACATATAACAGAAACTAGGACCAAAACCATTTTTAAAAATGGCGGATTTTTGTTGGTTAGAAGCAAACTTAAAATAGCTATATCTTAGGAACCGATTGAAATTAGACAATAAAATTTTCAGGATGTTCATAATTTACTAAAATCTTTAAGTGGTTTAAAAATCAGCAAAATCTGAGGCTTATGGTTGAATTTTCAAAAAAAATTGGATGTTTTCACATGGAATCTCCCAAATTTGAAAAAATCAAAGTAAACCTAAAATCCATAAAATCTAATGGCGTCATTGTTTCCAATATTTTCATTTGATCTACTAATACCTGAAAATAAATAAAAACCACTCATCATTATTTGTACATCTTGCTCATTATCACTATCAACATCATCACCACCACCACTAATGACAATGAAGTTTTTTTTACTTTTCAACTTATTTTGGAATTTACAATACCACTGTGTGAAAAATTGTTCTGTGCCATTTCTAGAAGTTCTCAAAGAAAAATTTTTAAACAAAAGTCTAAGAGGAAGGGTCTTCATCACCATCATCATCATCATCATCATCATCATCATCATCATCATCATCATCATCATCATCATCATCATCATCATCATCATCATCATCATCATCATCATCATCATCAAAAAGGGACTGAACTTTTTTTTTCTTTACTCCAAACCAAGTAATGCATTGTTGAAGAGTAAGCAAGTTCATTTTTGATACTTGTTACTATGATATCAATTAAATCATGCTTTTACATTCAAAATAAATGCAATATTAGAAAAACTTTACTTCAGCATTAAACTGAAAATGAACTTACAATTTTAGAAAAGATAAAAATTTAATTAAAAGATTACAAAGGAAAGTTGGTTTCTTTTTGTCAAACTGAATTTAGTAAGGGAAATTAGGGTTTGGTTAAATACATACACCAAAAATAATAAAGACATAATAAAGGCAACTTCACAATAAGATCTTTCAAGTTGTTTTAATTGTAATTATCTTGCAATAAATTTGTTTGTGTCACAAATGATGGAGCAAAAAAAAAATGTTCATCAGAAAGAATTACGCAAATATATGTTAAAAATTATGTTAAACATATTAGGAAAATGTTACAAATTATTTACATATCATTTACATATTTTAAAAGTTTCTTTGCAAAAAAAAAAAAAAAAATGCTGCTAAAAATACTTTAGTTGCATAAAAACCATATTTTATATAAGACCCTTCCTCTTAGACTTTTGTTTAAAAATTTTTCTTTGAGAACTCCTAGAAATGGCACAGAACAATTTTTCACACAGTGGTATTGTAAATTCCAAAATAAGTTGAAAAGTAAAAAAAACTTCATTGTCATTAATGTACAACTCGACACTGCTAACTCTTTGATAATTTTCTAATCTCCAATCTTTCGTTGATAAAAACTCTTTGAGAATTACTACAGAGTTCAGAAAACTAATTTTTAAAAATTTATTGCCACTGGGATTCAAAATAATAAAACTGTTTGGAGATTCTTAAGGTAATAGCAGGATTGTAATCAATTTGAAACATCAACTTGTTGGTGTTTCAAATATGATACTTTCAAGGATGTTTTGCAAAATATTTACAATGATTGGAACAAAAAGACCCAAAAAAAGTTGTAATCACTAATCAAAATATACTTTTTAGCATTTATTAGAGTATATATTTTTACTATATTTAAAATCATCGACTGGTTTTAAGTTTCATTTATTAACGCTCTTCATATGTTTTAATGCTCATTAATAACGCTATTCATATATTTTAATGCTCAAAGGTTATGACCATGAAAAATTTCTGCCCTTTCCAAAATGAGGGGGTTGTAAATTTCGCATTTCACTCTTGAACACTAAAAAAAATTATTTAAATCTATGAATGAATTTAAGTTTAGTACAATATGTTAAAAATGTATACTTTTCAACTGATTGCCATCACATTGAGGGTCGACAACTTTTTCTTTTTTTTGTTTATTTAATATACTTAAATTTAGAGTTTGCACAATGCCTGAAAGTGTCATATCTGGAACATCAAAAATCCTGCATACGCCACTGGCAAAATGAAGTCAAAAGATAAAAAAAAAATTTTTTTGTAAACTTTAAACCAATATAATTATTAAAAGTATATACATACCATGAATGCAAACAATGGTAAACTAATATTCAATTAAATAATTTGGCCATTTAGATTTAATAAAAACAAGAAAACATAATATAAAAAGAAATATTTAAAAACATTATAAAGCAATAAGAACTACATACCGTAAATATTTTATTGACCCGATTAAGTCTTGAATTGATTTTTAACATATGACTTTCATCAACTTTCTACAATTTTTAAAAGACAAAAGAAACAAATCACATATAATCACATAAAATAATATCAATTTAATTTAAAGCCAAGTTTAAATTGATTTGAAAGTAATGAAAAAAAAAATTGATTGCCAACCCAATCTCTCAGTTAATGTAGTGGCACTTCCTTGCATGTTGTTGATGTATTTATATAACTTTAGTATAAAAATGATATGTGAATGTCTTATTATTATTTATACACACACACACACACACACACACATATACACACAAACATATAGACATGATGTATACTTATATGTGAATGTTTTTTTTTAAAAAAAAATTTAATTTTTTTGATAAGTTCCTATTATGATTAAAATAGATTTGTAGAAAACTTTTTTTTGTAAACAAAATTTGTTTAAACCAAATTAAAAATAAAGCTATTAAAAGTAGTACAACTTACTGGTTGCATGAAGATTTCTCTTATTGAATCAATTTCATAAATAACTTGTTTAAACCAAAGCTCATATGCTAAATAAAAAAAATAGCTTCTTTTATTGTTCTTACTATTATCAGTCTTTCTTGAAAAAACGCAATTATCACTAAATTATGGAATATTTCTATAAGCATCTTCTCAAATAAAATTTGTATAGTTTATTCTATTGTTATATATCATTACCTTGAAACCATGCCAGTGCAATTAAAGAGATATAATAGAATTAGGAGATTAGAGTAGAATGCATCAACAACATTTTTTGTATAAGTCAGTTTTAGATAAATACTTAACTTTATGCAGTACATACTTTAAAATACTTTACCGTGTACTTTACAACTTATTTGGTTTTCTCCAATCAATAGACTTTTTACACATAGGAATGGAATTATCTGAAGGGTCAAAAAAAATGTTCTACAAAATATTTTTGTGCTAAACTTTTGGCTTTTATATTGAATTTTCTTAGGCCTTTAAAGTTATGGCTATTTAAGTATTTTCAATAAATTTTAAAATCCTGGAAACTATTTATTTGATCTTCACAAAAAAAAATTTAAATTGCTAAAAATCTACAAAAAGCAGTTAAATTTTGCAACACTAACCCAAATCAGATTGATGTACAAAGTTTTATCAAATCAATAAGTATTTGTCCATTTTCGTATTTCCAACAAAATTTTACAGAAACTAGAAATTATTTTTAAGAAATGTGTAAAAGTATGTTTGTTGTTCGTTTAAAAAAGTTTAAACATACCAGCCAGAAAAGACTCAATACTTGAAAGAACTTAAACTGCTTTATTGAGAATTATGATTTTAATAAACAACATTTACCTTCTGTAATTTGTGTGATGTAGACAAAAACTTCTATAGATTAAAAAAGGGAGAAATCAAATAATGACCTATCTAGCACTTTAAATTTTTCTGAAGTTAATCTCACAACTCTGACAAAAAGTAGGATTTTTTTTTAATTAAAAAAAAAAGTAGATTGACATATACTAATTTAATCACAAAAACAAGATTGGAAAGTAAATTCTTGATTTTTTAGAATTGACACTTTTTGTAACAATCAAGTAATTTTTTTTGTTGCAAAGATCTTCCAATTACTCCAATTTCTGCAAGCACCAATGAGAACATTTTGTTCCAATTATATTGAAATGAGCAACTCCGTAAATAAGGTAATTGCACAAAGAGTTTTATCTCTTTTAAACTCTTTGTGCAATTACCTTATTTACAGAGTTGCTCATTTCAATTTGGAAAATTAAATCAATGGGACAAAGTACTAAGAAGTTTGATAATGGAAAAAACTCAGGGCTTAGTTATTTTTGATAAGACATAATTGAATTGGTTAAAAATATCGTTGACCAAATTGGCATTCCATCAGATGAATGCATTATCAAAGTAGACATTGGTGGAGTCAGTGGACCAATAGGTCAATATGATTATATTGAATAGGCAAAAAGAACAAAAGATTTTCAAATTTTTCAGAAAGAACCTTGTTACACCAGCAACAAAAAAATTGTTGAATTTGTAAGAACAAATATATACTTGAAGCAGATTTTAGTCTTAATTTATCTTTAAAGTGTTGCTTTCACAAAAGTAGTACGTATGAATCTTTCAAATAATATTTTCGGATTAGGATTAGTTGCATTAACATATCCCTGCTCTGCTTATTAAATCTTTAAGAGCAACTTTGAATACCAAGTAAACTTGGGGAAATTAACACAAAAGAACACTAGAAATGATTCAATCTCATTAATAATCAAAAAGCTTTTGGTATTCATTTAAAGAAATCAAAGCACGTCCATAATTAATCTTACTTTTTTTTTTTTACTTTTTTTGAGAAAACATAAAAAGCTCTCAGAATTTCAATTAAAGTTCATACTGTAAACACGAACATACCGAATTTTATTGACTATTAGACTAAAAAATATGAAATTAACCAGAAATTATATGAAACTACCCAGCTTTACTAAACTTTCTCTAATTTTACAAAAAGTTTTAGGATGCCTTGGTTTTTGGAGTGATCAAGCATTATCAGGCATTACAGGTGCGGCATTATCACGTTGGCATTATCAACACGGCATAATCAGGTTTGGTATAATCAGGTTTCATATCATGAAACCTGATAATTCCAACCTAGCTGACATATATATCTTATAAGTTATATCAACAAAGTATTAATGGATGGACGTTTAACGTATTATTTAAAAGCCAAGGTATCCGCGCTATTCATTGTTACAAAATATTCATTGTTACAAAACAATAGAGAACAGATGTTAACTATTTTAAATTTACTCGATTTTGCGTCAAAATAACGATAGTCTCGCCTAGCCTAAGAATTATTTAAACATTCCATAACACCTAAAAACTCTAAAAAAATTTTAAATAAATAAAACCTTTTCATTAAATGATCTATAAACTCAAGCGAAATCTTTACATGGAAAAAAAAAGTTAATCACAGAAAAATATCAAAACAAAATTGTGAGACAAATTTTCCGGCAAAAATGAGAAATTTAAATACTTAAAATAATAGTGAAAACTAAGTGTAGGGAATAGAGACCTCAAGTAATCTATAGTTCGATCTATATGTGATCAACAGTTTTACCTACAACATCTAGAAAATTCACTTTGCAGTATTCGTTCTTGCAAACTAAATATCACTTTTTTCCAAAAAATATGGTTTGTGACGTCTAAGTGTTATTAATAATAAGTTCTTATTAAAAAGCGCTCACGTATCAAATTTGACATCTTAAAGCAGACGAGCTATTTTTGATTAACTAAAATGCATTAATTTAAAAAAAAAAATTGAATTTTGTAGGTAATTGAATTTTGTAGGTAAAAAAGTAGTTAGAAAAGCGAAATTTTCGGGAAAACGTCGGTTTACTTTTATAAATTATTCAGAAAAATGACGCTAAAAATTATAGCTCGCATAGGTTTTTGTTTACTCTCGGCGTCTCAGATCTATAACAATGAGTTAAACGTCCATCACTCTTAGCAAAAATAGGCGATAACTGTCTCGTCCGCACCCGAGAAAACTGCAACATTCCTGTGAATTTCCTGTGAACATTCCTGTGAATTTCCTGTGAAAATAAAAGCTGTAAAAATTCCTTTTTACAGCTTTTATTAAATGTAAAGAACTTCTAATAAAGGTAAAATATAGATTTTTGCAATATAATTTTTTTAATTTTAAATTGACAAATTTCTAAAACGAAAAAATGCCCAACTCAGCTAGGAATCATGATGAAAACAGGAAAGTTGTTTGCCTCCTGTGTCTCAAAAAGACAAACAGACAGCTCACAACGTTTTTGCATGAAAAAAATCAACAAGTCTACAGACAACAAATCAATTTTGAAGATGTAAGAGTACCGCAAGGGCTGTGTGAAACTTGTAGAACTGCTCTGAGGACACGTTATGAAGGACATCCTGGTAAATTACCAGCTCTTTTTGACTTTGAAACTATCATTGTCAAACCACTCACAAGAGGAAATCCTTGTGAATGCTTGATTTGTTGCATTGGCCGGTTGAAATTAACTGAAAAGCACCCTCTTGACACTGATACGAAAAAAGAAAAAATTTTTGATAAAAGGTGCTCAAAATGTCTGTCACTAATTGGTAGGGGATTGCCACATCAATGCTCTGTATCACAGTTTAGAGAGAATGTAAGATCTCTGGCAGCCAATGACGGTAAAGTTGCGGAACAGATTGCATCTTCAACAATCACAAGCAAGGATTCATCTCCACATAAATAAGTCCGACTTTCACAAACCAAGGGTGGGAGAGCATTGCCTATAACTCTAGGTAAACATATGGTTACATCATTTAAGCATTTAATTGGACCCAGAGATGCAAAGTGAAGCTTCACCTCCAAGCAAACGCTTGCTTACATCACAATCATCAAAGGATACAGGAGTGAAAAAACAACTTCTTGTGGTTGTGGCTGAAGGAGTTCAAGAAAATTACAACAATGTGAAAGTCATTCTTTCCCTTCTCGATATTCAAGAGGTCAATTTTGTTATCTCTTGTGACATGAATTTGGCTAATATTCTGTGCAGTCTGCAGGCTCATTCATCCTCTCATCTATGTACATGGTGCACAGCGGAAAGTTCTAATCTTGTGAATTGTGGTACTCCAAGAACTTTTGGCTCTCTAAAGCAGTCATTCCATGCGTTCTCTGCAGCAGGTTCAAATACCAAAAATGCAAAGAAATTCGGAAACGTGGTTCATGAGCCTGTTCTTTCACTCGAAGATTCTGCATTGGTAATTGATCTTATACCTCCAATGGAGTTGCATCTACTTCTTGGAGTAGTCAATCAACTTTTTAAGATTCTGAAAGATTCATGGCCAAAAGCAGATGAATGGCTTCAAGCATTGCATATACAACATCAACCCTTTCATGGTGGATAATTTGAAGAATGTTTCTGCAATAAGTTGCTGAAGAACTTGGATCTTTTGCAAACATTGGCTGAAAAAGACAATGCTTTTCAAGTTTTTCCCATCATTGAAACTTTTCGAAAATTTGCAAATGTTGTATCATCCTGTTTTGGCAACAAGTTGCACAGTCAGTTTGAAGAAAAAAATGATGAGTTTCAAGTTTCTTTCCTTGCATTGCCAATTGGAACTGTCACACCAAAAACACATGCTGTGTTTTTCCATATAAAGGAATTTATACTGAGGAAAAAGATGCGCCTTGTTGATTTTAACAGCAAGAATCTTTGAAAGAAAACACTGAGCACAAAATAAATAGAATTGGAGATTTATAAATAAATTATGTTGACCTTACATTAGAAATCTTTATGTGAGAACAGAATGTACCTTTTTATCCCTTAGAATAATGTTTTTTTATTTATTGTATGTATTTTTGTTTAAAGAATGCTGTAAAAATGCAAAAAATAGAAATGCTGTCATTTTACATATAGGGGAGACCGGGGCTAGTTGGCTCGGTTTTTACTCTATGAGCTCTGTAGCCCTAATAGCACACTTTTTTGAAAATATTAAAGTGTAGTCTCAAAGCGTATGAACTTGGGTAACTTATAAAAGTTTCATGGATTTACAAAAAAAAATTCTTGGGGCCTTACGGGGCCCTCAAAAAAAAAAAAAAAATTGCGCCAACTTACCCCACCACGGGGTAAGTTGACGCAAACTATAAACGTGATTATTAATGTACTATTAAGTGCAAAATTAATAGAAATTTTTTACCTATTAATTTTGGCAACAATTTAAGCTAATAATTTGATATTATTTTTAGCTTGTGCTAAATATTAGTACGTATAACAGCCAAAACAGCAGCCCTCTTTTTACCTGTTACAAAAAACCTAAAAAAAAAATTTTTATAATTTTTTTGTAAGAATAAGTTTTTTCAATATTGTTAAAAATTAAAAAAATTAAAAAAATTATTTTTATAAAAATAAATATTTTTCTCCATAGTAAATGCTATGAGCCAACTTACCCCGTAAAAATTTTGTCAACTTACCCCGAAGGCTTTTTTTTCAATAAACAGTCTATAGATCCTGAAAAACGGCAACTTTTAAAAAAAGTCAAACTGAATATAGTAAACCAATTGTGGCTAGAACTTTTACAATAATTTTTTTTCCATTTGACTAACTATTTTCTTTGTAAAGTAAAAAGGAAGCGATGTTTCAAAAGTTACGTTTTTGTCCAAAAAACACTTAAATCTTAATATCTCCCATGCGCATGCGCGAATCCTGACAATACTACATTGAATGATGAAACAGTCAATTAGGAAGATTCTGTGTAATTTTTATCACTTTTTGATGAAAGGCTTTAAAGATAAACGCAATTCGTCAACTTACCCCTGCGGCCAACTAGCCCCGGTCTCCCCTATGTGTAATAAAGGAAAATTTCAAAATTGATTTTCTTTCACGGACGTAGGCAGATGATTTTAATTTTTAAATTTTTGGAATCCCATGGTCATAAGCTTTCACAGGAATGTTGCGGTTTTGTAGGGTGCGGACTGGACAGTTATCACCTATTTTTGCTAAGAGTGCCATCTATTAATGCGTCCTTGGTTATATGGGAATTTCGCGTAAACATCAAGATTTTTGATTTTGATTTAAATTTTGATTTAGATTTTGATTCAAATTTTTCAATCTTTTAATTTAGTCCGCGGAAAAAAAATAATTTGAATGTTCAAACTAAGTGACATTTTGACTTCATAGTGCGCCAATATAAACACCTGTAGAGCGAGAAACACCCTATATAATTCAATAAAAATTACGTATGGCCACACCAAACTCTGAATTAAATTTTAATCTATCTAAATCTAGAATGAAATCTACGAGGGGAGGGAGGATTTCTAGATTTCAGATAGAAATAGACGATTGTACCCCCCCCCCACTTCCAAACCCGTGTCGTCGGCCCTGGTATTTGTGGCAGTTTTATTTAAAACTTGTTAGTTTTTTGCTACTTATACTTTAAAACGTTACTGATTTCTGTGATATTCGGTCACAATTTTCAAAATAATGGTTACATGAGTTTTTTACATGTAAGAACAACAATTTTTATTATAGTTGTTTTACTGTTACATGCACTTTATTTTGCATTTTAAAGACCAAAATATTGATTTTCAATTTAAAGTGTGCTTTGACTAAGCGTGGCTTATGCATAGCGTAATAATCAAGATTTTCTAGAGAATAATAAAATAATAAAGAAATAAAAAATATTTAATTCTCTAAAAACATAAAAACTGTGAGTAACTGAAATGACAGCTAAAAAGTTTGAAGTAAATTATTTTTTACATGTTAACCAGTAAGCACAGATCGTTTTTAAAACGTTTAAGAAACGTTAAAAACCGTTTTCATAGGTTTTTTAAACGTTTTAAAAATGTTCTGTGCTTACTGGGTAAGATTCTTAACATATAAAGAATAATTTTTTTCAAACTTGATGTGTCACTTTCATTTTCGTCATTGATGTGTCAATATCGTTTTATTTACGCCTTCTTCTTCTTTTTAGGCCAGCAATTTCTTTTGAAAGAATTATTTTATTTTGAAATAAACAATATATATATATATATATATATATATATATATATATATATATATATATATATATATATATATATATATATATATATATATATGTATATATATATATATATATATATATATATATATATATATATATATATATATATATATATATATATATATATATATATATATATATATATATATATATATATATATATATATATATATATATATATATATGTATAAGTGAAATTGGTAAAAAAGGAGACGTGAACCTCATTCAGCGGTAATTCTAGGAACAAAATGAGGAAGGATGGCAAATCCTTTAAAAACTGCCGACTACTTTCTAAAAATAAACAAACAAAAAAGGCCCTCAAAACTAAAAATAACTTTAAGTTATAAATAGCTTTTTTTGGGGCAGGGAGGGCACACTCCACACACACACACGCGCGCGTAAATATCGCGTAACGTAAAACACACGTAAAATTGTTCCTGACCTCATTGTTAAATAGTTTTTCCGTAGAGCTCTGTAACAAAAAATTTGTGTCTCTTTGCAGTCTCTGAATAACCAGATTAAAAAATAAACTAATTAGTAATAACCAGTATCGCTAATAATTATTTGACTGTATCCAAAATGTTTTTTTAAAGAAATCTTTTTATTAAAATTTCTTTTTTTTTTGTAGGTGACTAAATGTCTTTACAGCTTTACTAACAACTTTTTTTGTTCAAAAAAAAAAATTTAGTAAACTTTATTATTATTTAACTATTGTGACCAGGTTTCGAAGCATCAAGCCGGTCAAAAATTTAGATTCAATCCTTCACAAATAATTAAAACTCTTGCTAAGAAAACTGACATCAAAACCTGATCGACAAGAGAACCAAAAAGACCAAATCAAGACCGGCATTAATCGTCTTCAATACAATTTTCAAAGAAAATTGGTCATCCTTGACAACGAATCTTACTTCACGCTATCGCCCTTGACAATTAACGGAAACATCACCTACTACTCTTGTGACAGAGGTAAAACTCCACTAAGCGTTAAATATTGCAAAAAGCGTAAGTTCGACAAAGGTATTTCCGAGCCATTTTTTGTCCCCAAGAGGCCTTGCCGTAAACAAAGCCATTTACGAAGTAGATTATATTAAGAGAAGATTAGTGCCCTTCATCAACCCTTATTATGGTGATGGTAATTATGTAGTTTGGCTGGACCTCGCCTCATTGCAATACGCCAAACCGTGACCAACTGATATGAGCCTCATAACATCAATTTTGTCAAAAAAGTTGACAATCCGCCACCCTTACCGTACAAAGTGTCGCCCAATCAAAGACTTTTGAGCTATTTTGAGCTAAAACAAGCAAAAGACGTGGAGTAACTACAAATCAGTATAAAACATTGCCCCTTAAAAAAATTAAGCTTAACCTTATATTTTCACTTTTTTTGTCATCTTGTCTTAGAGTTGGCTGAATCCGAAGAATTAGACCGGTTGAAAACAAACTTAATTAGATTAATAAATTACTAAAAACTCTATTTAATGATATTTTCATTTAATCTCTATCTTAAAAACTATGGGAGTAATAGCTCTTGAAAAAATATCCGGATTTTTATTGACCACACGTTATTTAGATCAAGGTAGCATTTCATGGGTAGGAAGCAGAATCTGTAATAAAACGGCAACAGTAATAAAACTGCAATTAGATTGACATCAAAACTCTTCGTTTTTTAAAATGGAGAAAGTTATGAGTTATATCTTATTATGTCTATTAATTTAAAAAAAAAAAAAAAACTAAATTTATTTAAAACAGTTTGGATTTCAAACTTAAGCTGAAGATAACGTTAAACTTTATATTACACTGTAATCTACAACTTTTGATCTTAACTTTTTAAAAATTATTATTAGAGTTTTTAAAAAAATTCACCCAATGGCAAGTTGGGTATCTTATTTTACTAAAACTTTTTTTCTCTTAGAGTTGTTGTGTTGAACCTGAAAAGAAGTAAAACTTTATTGAGATTTTATAAATAACGATCTTTTTCAAATATAACCAAGAAGTTATTGTTTAAAAAAACGTCTTAATAAGTGCTTTTTTTTTAATTTTTGCTTAAAATTTTTGCTTTTATGTTAGTATTTTTTTTAAAATAAATTTAAAAAAAGTAAATGTTATTTAAAAGTTTGTTGTTTTTTTTAACTTTTCATGAACTGTGCCAATAGACTAATATAAAGTATATACTAAGATATAAGTTAATATTTATTTAGCGTAAGTCTATTCGCACATGTTTATAAATAGACACACCTTAAATAAATACTTAATCTTAACTTATAACATCAACTATATTCTAGCTTTTACGGTTAAACATATTTTATAATATAGAACTTTTAGAGGTATGATTAATTAAGTTTAAAAATTTACAAATTCATCTTTGGTTTCTGCTAAATTTAATTTAAGGAACAATTATTTCATTTTTCCTAATATAAATAACTAACATGGTTATATTAAATGGTAACGTTTTTATTTCTGAATAAGATGTTTTATAACTAAATATATAATATGGCTTGTTTATAACAATTATTTAAATTTCTTTTTATTTTTTAATATCTTTTATCTTTTAATATCTTTTTAACATCTTTAATATCTTATGCAGATATATTTTTATTTTTAATAAGTTATGTAAGCTTACTTTTACTAAAGTTTTGAATAAAATTAATAAGTTAAATAAATGTAAAAATCAACAAAAAATAAAAATATGTCTTTTCTGCGACGCTATGCAATAAGAATTAAAAAGAAAAAAAAGTTTAAAGTATAGTAAAAGATGTTTTCTGGTAACAGTTAAAAAACAAATATTAGTAAGCATGAATGAATTAAAATGAAAAAAATAAATAATTTTTACCTTGGTGTATAATTATAAACAAATGTTCATCGTGAACTTTTGATCGAAGGTTCATTGCTGAAAACAACGTATCAAGCTAAAAAAACAACAACCCACAATTGTTTATTTATCTCTATTTTTTTTTTTCATTTCTTTTTTTTAATCTTGTTCACCTCCCTAGAACCAAAAGGGTCAGTACAGTCTAGTAGTCTCTACAGGAGACTATTTTATTGTGGTTACCACTGGCGGATTAAGACTTCATATGGGCCGGGGCTATTTTTGTTTTTGGAGGCCTGTTTTATGGTCCAGAGCCTAAAAATGACTAAAAAAAAAAGGTCCTCTAAAATTTGGAGGCTCGGGGCTTAGCCCCCTTAGCCCCCTTGATCCGGTACTGGCGGTTATAACCCTCTCTCAACTTTTTAACTCCGAAACACGAACCTTGACAAACAAGGCCACTGCGTGGAGAAACATGTTGAGCGCAATACTTCGAAGGTTGTGGTGGGGATCGAACTGGAACCTTTTGCTGGGGATCGAAGGTTGTGGTGGGGATTGAACCTGGAACCTTTTGCTTACGAAGCTACTACACTACTATAGCGTTTAATGCCTATTTCTATTTATTAGCCCTAACATATTTGCAACTTAATCAACCTGTAAGTATTTTGAATAATCTAGTTTTGCTTCTTCATTCTTCGCCTGGGATTCTCTAAAAAAAGACAAACGTGTATTTTTTCATTTTGTTTGTGAAATGAATAAAATGTAATAAATTGTAATAATAAACAGGGCCGACAACACGGGGAAGGGGCTCAATCATCAATTTGTAACAAAAAGTCCTTCAAATCTAGAAAATTTTAAAAATTCGATAGTGTTCTTAAAAATACTTTTGCTAACAAAAATACCAAAAAAGATTAAAATTAAATCTTTAAACGTTTCTTAACCTCATGCAAATAAAAATCTTTTACAAATATAAAAACATATAATTTTGAATTATTCAGGCATACTCAAGGTATACTTACATTTGCTGTGTTTCGTTTCCAATTGGGCATGACATTTTAAATTTTATGCAAAACAGTTAAATTGCGATGGGTAAAAATTTTTCTAAATATTCCCTGTTGTTTTTCAGACGCTTTCAAATCTTGTTTTGTTCAAACTAAAAAAAAGATAATTCTTTTTTTTTAAACAAAGTTAAAGATAAGTTTATGTTGTAAACTCAAACAAGAAAAGATTTAATCTTTAAAGATTTGTTTTTTCAAAGAAAAAATTTCTTGTAGCAATGACAAATAGCTGATAATTACTTATAGTACAATAAATACCTAAATTGTATAATGTTTTCTCTATTGAAATAAAAAAAATGTTCGTTGACAAAATATAACTAATAATTACACTTGAACAAATAGATTAAGATTGCGTAAACTTTAAAAAAAATTTAAGTCTCGCCTTCTCAGTTTTTTTTAATTAAAATTATTAAAAAAAAAAAGGACGTCTTAAAATTAGTATTTATAACTAATTACTATCTATTTATAGAAGTAAAGAAAGGTCAACCAAATTGCGACAACGTATATTTATGTGGTTATTTGTGCAACTGTGGTTATTTGCGCTATTTTTGTAATGTATTTAACTGTAGTAACGGTTTGTCTTTATTTGGGATAAATGAAGTTTGTTTTTATTTGGGATAATTATGCTTGTTTTTATTTGGGATAGTTAAAGTTTATTTTAAAGTTGATAAATAAGAAAAAAATAATATAAAAAGCCGTTAGATTGTTAACGTGGCGCTATCACTAGATACCATTGAATTGAATCTATTATTGCAACCTTTAAAATTCAATGAACAATTCAATAAACTAACTTTATTTATATTACCTATTCAAATTTTTCAAACAATTATATTATTTTATTTTTTTCTTGCGACTTGTTTACTATTTAGATAATGTACTTAATCCTACATTAAAAAACAAAAAAAACAAAAAAAAAAACAAAAGTTTATTTAAGAATATTTAAGAATTATTTAACAAACATAAATCATTTGGCTAAGTAGTTTTTTATTTAGATTACTATTAACCAAAAAACTCTCTAAGAAGTAAAACTCTTTGTAAACAAAAATCTCTGGGGATCATTTGCCATTCACATTCGTAAATGTGGTTATCTATGTGGAACAAATCTAAAAAGTATAAGAATGTAAAAGTGTATGCAAAAATAATTATCAAACAACTTAAATTTGTAGCTTTAAATAAGACTTGTGAGTGGACCTAAATTTCTACATGGTGTAAAAAGAAACAAGTTTTAGGGTATAGCATTGAAACCGCTAACTTATTTTCCAAAACTGTGGTATTGCCCAATTGTACCAGGGACGTAATTAGTTAACGTCTTTGGGTTGGGAGGCGGAGTATATAAAGATTTTTTTAAAGCTAAAGATGGAAAATCGGAAAACGCATCGAAATGTAAATAAACCTTAAGATATTATTCTCACCTTTAAACGTTTGAATAATCCAGATTATTTTAGCGTCGTCGTAATTTACGCTGCTTAACTTTCATAAGTTAAATATAACCAAAAGTGTTTGTTCAATAATAATAAAAAAACCCGCTTAACGCACACTTTTTTTAAAAAAAAAAGAATAAAAAATTACGCATTACGCGGTTAAGGAAATATATTTATAGAAAAATTTTTTACAATATATTTTTCTGTCGAAAAAATAAATGCAGAAAATACCCAACTTTTTTATCTTGACCAGCTTAAAAATACCATTTTCTCCATTGTTAAACAATAACATAGCTAATACAATCTCAGTAAGATTTCTACCACAAACAAAGCGTTGAATAGTTCAAAGCCTTCTTTAACCTGTCAGTTTTTTAACATAAACATTTTCCTAAAAACTTGACAGAACCTAATTCTTACATATATTTTGTTAATGTAGGTCAGTCTCTTGCATTATGCATTTAATTAAAACTTTTGATTCAATTTTGGTAGAAAAACTGATCTTTAATATATCTAATGAAAGCATGGTTTTAACGAGCCAAACATAAACGTGACTAGTCATAACATATCGTGACATTACCGGTAATAAAGTTATCAGTATCTATCTATCAGTATTTTAACTTTAAAACTAATCTTTTACTTAATAGATTATTTGAATCACTAAAAAAAAAGGGGATATGTCTTGCAAAAATTCACATAACATGTCCCCTTTTTCAAGTTAGCAATTCATTTAAGAAGTTAGATAATGCTACCCATGTAATGAAAACAATAAAGATCTTTAATGAAAACAATAAAGATATAGCCAGAATTAATTTATTTCAGATTTTAATATTTATGTATAAGTATAAAATTAACTTACCAACAAATGTTTTTTCCATTACTTTTTTTTTGTTAAAATATTCTTAAAAACTAATCAAATACCAATCAGGACTATTATTCAGGCTCAACTATTTCCAAAAGTCAACATTTGCATTAGAGAGTCAATGAAAAATATAAGCCTAAAAGACAAAAAAAAAAAAAAAGCCTTTGTTTAGACGTCAAACCAAATTATATCTTCTTAAACTCTAATTTAATAATAATTTAAAACATAACAAACTTAAGAAAACAATAATTAATAAATAAACTACTTTAGTTTATTACGGAAACATAATTTATAAATTTTGGCATTGTGGTTTATCCTCATCCGGGTAACTTTCATAGAGAGGCCATAAATTAAGGCCCACAAAGTTCAGCTCACTAAAGAGAATCAAAGCCAACTTCGACGGACCAAGATTAAGTGAGTTTTAAGAAGAACGAAGTAACTAAGAGTGAAAGTTAGAAGTAGTTGAGTTAAAAAGAAAACATGGATAAAGCGGACAGACATGGCGCTAGATATTATAATGTGCAATATTAAGTATTATATAGCATGTTAAACATTTTTTTCATTATTTTACATGATATATAAAGCAATCAAAAAAGTCTTTAATATGCTTCATAATACTAAATATTGCACATTCTAACATTTAGCGCAGTCTGTTAGAGTTATAAATGTTTTATATTATAATATTTTAATTTATAAATAAATATTATATTATATAAATATAATTGTTTTATTTTATAATTTTTATAGTTATAAATAAATATTATATTATATAAATATAATTGTTTTATTTTACAATTTTTATAGTTATAAATAAATATTATATAAATATAAATGTAAGTATTATTTACATAGTAGCTATACTTTTATATTATATTATATTTATACTATATTAGCCTACTTTTTTCGGTACTTATAAAATTATTACATATTACTTTTTTCGATACTAATAAAGTTATATATAAAGTTTTAACTGATTTTTTAAAAAAGAGCTTGCACTAATTCTATGTAGAGGTTGTGGTGATGTGGTGCTTATTTTATGTAGGAGTTGTGGTGGTAGTTTTTCATACGTTCTTTGATACCTTCTTTCTGCTTTTATTATTATTCAAAAAACAAAATATTTCTTGTTTGCTTTTGTATTAGGTGTTTTTATAGACCAATTTTCATTTTAGTTGAAAAACGTATAAAATCGGTTACGGCTATTTTACGTTTACTAGTTTTGGAAAGAAAGGAAAATATGGTAGAAATATGGTAGAACCCTTAAATATAAATTGAATAATTTCATATTCGAACACAATGTTTAATATAAACCAATCTTGATCGCAGTTACTATAAACTTTCTGATGAGTCTTTGTTGATGATACATAGTGTAAAATGAAAAACTTTTGTAAGTGATTTTCTACTTATTTATAACTGCTCTGTTCTTTTAAGATAATCGAGCCCTCTATTTTGTCGAATATATTTAAAACTATTCACATATAGTTGGTTAAAACTTGCTAATAAGAACAAAGGAAGTTTTTTAAATTTTTTTTGAAAAACTTCCTTTTATGTTGATTTTTTTGCGTCTTTTTAGGGAGTACCATTTTACGCCTAGATTATTCGTCATAGCTATCGAAATTAATTTTCAACAATTTGGGATATTCTAAGTAACACTAAATAAATTTGTTAAAAGCAATCTAAGAATAAACAAACTTTTAACAAAATTTATGCGTATATTAGGGTTGCTACCCGGAGGATTTTGTGCAATTCCGGAAAACAACATTCTTTCGAAAGGAGATTGAGAACGAGAAATTACATTTTTTTCGTACCGAATATTACAAAATATTTGTACATGTTCATTTTGCAAATGCTACTTCTGAAATTTAGCATTTCGCAAGTTGACATTCGAAATAAAACTATTTTGCAACATACGAAAATAGCGGTTTCGGGAGTCGCACTTGCGAAACAAGCATTTTCGCCAAAGGACGTTTTGAAGTCTATAAAGAAAATTTGTTTGCCAGACTTTTAATTGTAAAAATTAACATCTTTAAATACCAAAATGTTTATAATAAATTTTTATTTTCAGTATAATTACATATTAAATTTTTATGATTTTATTTTTAGAAATATTGATAAAAAACAAAATTCTTTCGAAACGAAAGTATTTTGCATCACAACATACGAAAGAGTTCTTGACGGAAACAAACTTACAAAACGTGCTATAATAAATATATATATAATGATGTTTTTTGAACTCATTACGTATAGTAAAAGTAAGAATGATGGGGAGGAAGATACATGTTTTTTTTTTTCTAAAACATCTAAAATTTTTAAAACAGATTCGAATATGCTTAAGCAAAAAGTAAAAAGAGGCTCAAAAATATGCTTAAGCGTAAGAATATTTCTAATAAAATATACCTATTTCAATAATTTCTAAACGTGTGCGCGTTACTAAAGGTTAATGGTTATAAGAAAAATAAAAAAGGTATTTTTGTTTTGGTTTTAATGTAGCTGAATTAATGTTGTTATAAACTTCGGTTTTTGTTGATTTTGTTGGTTTAAATTTAGAAATATATATATTTAAAATTTTTAATTAAATACCTTTAAAATCTGCTCGAATTAGCCGAATTCATATAAAGTTGAGTTTCCACTCATCCGTTTTTTCACGGGAACGGGAAAGGGAAGGAAAAAATAATCACATGAGCATGCGTATTATAAGTTTTAATTTGTCCGAAGTAAAAATACCCAGCCGGCATTATTACGTTGTTTCAACGTTGAAATTCGGTTGAAGCGTTGATTCAACGTTGTTCAACTATGTCACAACGTTAAATCAACGTTACCGTTTAAACGTTGATTATTTAACGTTATTTC